CGGAGCGAGAGCAGGGCGCCTGCCTGTGAGGCGCTCACAGCACTCGAGGGCGTGCACCGGGCACAGCGCCCACAGGCACGGACGCCGTGCAGGAAAGAGCAGCGTGGAGGAGGTCGGACGCCTCTCCTTGGGCTCTTGCTCGGCTCCCTCTGAACCACGCCTGACAAACCCGACATGGCCGAGATGGAGAAATTCGATAAGTTGAAATGGAAGAAGACAGAAACGCAAGAGAAAAATCCACTGCCTTCAAAAGAAACGACCGAACAGGAAAAGCAAGCAGGCGAATCGTAATGAGGCGCACACCGCCCATGTGAGCTGCACATTCCCTGAGCATTGCCTTCTTATCTTACTTCTTCCAGCTGTTTAACTTCGTAAGATGCAAAGAGGTTGGACCAGTTTAAGTGACTGTGCTGCCCCTCACACATCACAACTACTGACAACGAAGCCGCCCTGCCGCCCCTCTGCCAGCTGGCTGGCAGGGAGGGGGAACTTGCACGCTGCTGAAGGCAGGAGCTGGGTGGGACAACGGTGAACCTAGGTCCTAGAGTAAACCCAGCTGGAAGTGCAGGCCCCGGGACAGAGGAGGCCCCGCACACGGAGCACGCAGGCAGGAGCACCGTGAGCACCTGGTCCCGTGGGGACATAAAGAAGCAGGAGGTCTTGCATGAGTATTCCAGCCAGGGAATGGGAGGCGCCAGGTGGTGCAGCCGTAAACACTGCAGGATCGTTCATTCAGGGAGAACCGTCAATGGAGGCCACAAATCGCTTAAGAATTACCAACAGGAAAACAGTGACTTCACAGGAGAAAGCCTGGCTGTCACCACTTCACCCAGGGAAAAGTCAGTGTCGCCGTGAGACAGACAGATGTTGGATGTGCGACCTGGTGGCTGACCCCTGCCCGAAGTTCACAACTGGGAGCTGTGAGGACCAGCAGACAAACCCAGCCTGCAGGACATGCACCACTCACTGTAACGGACATTCTCTTCACAGACTCCAGGGAAGTGCTGTCCAGCCTACAGCCAGAGCCACAGGCCCAGGCAGGGCCCAGCTCCCGCACAGACCAGCCAGCCCGGTCGTGCTTCAGGCTACAGTGACAGCCGAAAAAGTCTCCTTTGGTCTGTCCGTGAGACAAGACTGCAGCATCCGCGCTGATTTCCTGAGCAGGTCACCGCACTGCGGCCACAGGAGCACCCTGGTCTCAGGAGGCACCTGCACCTGCACTGCCCACATGACGGGGAGGCTTGTCCAAGGGGGCAAACCTTAGCAAGGGGGAGTCTAGGTGACGGGCAAGAGGTTCTTTATCAGCAAGTTATCTGCAGATTTGACATGATTTCAAAATAAAGGTTACATGCAACAAAGGTGAGCACTTCAGAGCAAGACGAAGACATGAAACAACACAACTCAGGTTTAAAAACTCAGAAATGAAGTGACAAACTCACATGGAATGAGAAGGAAAGTAAAGAATCATTTTGGAAATGAGGATTGAATGAGAAGGAACACAGAAGCAGAAGCAAGCCACAATCAGGGCCTTAGAAATTGCAGGCAGAATAAGGAACTCATACAACTCAACCAAAGGAAGACAAACAATACAATTAAAAATGGGCAAAGGACCTAAATAAACACTTCTCCAAAGTGGGCATACAGATGGCCAAGAGACATATGAAAAGATGCTCAAAGTCACTGATCACTCAAGAGATGCAAATTAAAATGACAATGAGGTACCACTCACACCTGTCAGAATGGTTACCATCAACAAATCAACAAATGACAAGTGCTGGCTTGGCTGTGGAGAAAAGCAAACCCTAGTTCACTGCTGGTGGGAATGCAGACTGGTGCAGCCATTATGGAAAACAGTATGGAGTTTCCTCAAGAAATTAAATATGGAACTGCCATTTGACTCAGTGATCCCACTTCTAGGAATCTACA